AGAGAGTTCTCAAAAGAAGAAGTAAAGATGGCTATGAAGCATCTTAAAAGGTGTTCAACATCACTAATAATTAGGGAAATGCAAATTAAAACCACTTTAAGATTTCATCTTACCCCAGTCAGACTGGCTAAGATCAAGAGAGCAAATGATACCAAATGTTGGAGAGGATGTGGGGAAAGTGGAATGCTCATGCACTGCTGGTGGGATTGCAAACTTGTTCAACCCCTATGGAAACAGTGTGGAGAACTCTTAAAATACTACAAATGAACCTACCATTTGACACAGTTTTACCGCTCCTTGGCATACACCCAAAGAACTCATCCTACTGAAGTCACTTGTACATCAATGTTTGCTGCTGCTCTTTTCACAATAGCTAAGAGATGGGAAGCAACCTAAGTGTCCCTCAATTCACGGGTCGATAATGAAAATGTGGTTCATTTATATGATGAAGTTTTACTCAGCAGTAAAGAAAGATGAAATCATGAAATTTGCCGGTAAATGGATAGAACTAGAAACTGTTATACTAAGTGAAGTAACACAGGCTCAGAAAAAAAAAAACAACAACTTATGTTCTCCCTCATATGTGGATCCTAGTACCAAATCCTTATAAGTGAGTGTGTATCAGACATAACTACAGGAACCAGGACAATGAAAAGGAACCAGGGAGGTAAAGCCTAAAAATTTACAATTTTGAAAGAGATGCATCTTTGCTCTGGATATTGTTATTGAATATGTTAACTGTGTAATAAAATGCATCTTCTAATCATGTGGTTAGTAAATAAATAATTAAAAAAAAAAGATTACCCTAAGAAAAATCTCTGGATAGCATTTACTTTGTTTTGTTTTGTTTGGGGGGGGGGTCGTCTTTTTGAGACGGGGTCCCCCTGTAGTCTCAGCTGGCCTGGAACTCATTATGGAGACCAGGCTAGTCTTGAACTTACAGAGATCCATCTGCCTCTGGCTCCTGAGTGCTGGGATTAAAGGCATGTGTCACCATGCCCAGTCCAGCATTTACTTTTAAAATAAGACCTTGGAAAAGACTGTCCCCAAGGCTTGTTCCTACTGCAATATGATCTTAAGAGAGCTAATTACAGTGCTAATGACAGTGAATAATGGAAACCAGACATTTCAACTGGTACTCACTTGGACACATTACCCACTACTATTGTTTTCTTTACAAAAAGTCGTGAGGTCTCATCTCCTGTGAGATCAGCATTATGTAGTTCTCTTTTATGGGTACCACTAACACCAGAAGTGTCCTGAAAGAAATCACAATCAAA